GTCAATGATTCTAAGAGCATGCAGTGGTTAACGGCTTGATACAAGGGTGATATGACTGATACCCTTGTATCAACCTTACCACTGCACTGCTGCATAGAATATGATATGACTGGTACCCTTGTATCAACCTTACCACTGCACTGCTGCATAGAATATGATATGACTGATACCCTTGTATCAACCTTACCACTGCACTGCTGCATAGAATATGATATGACTGATACCCTTGTATCAACCTTACCACTGCACTGCTGCATAGAATATGATATGACTGATACCCTTGTATCAACCTTACCACTGCACTGCTGCATAGAATATGATATGACTGATACCCTTGTATCAACCTTACCACTGCACTGCTGCATAAGCTCTGATTCAAGTTGAATCAGGGGTCAGATAAGCAAGTGAAAAACTCATGACAAAATATTTTGCAATGAAAATTTCTTGTTTTTAAAGTATCATCGGAGACCCTGTGTTAACCTGTGCTATATCCATTATTTACCATACAAATTTTCCTTTTGACCCCACTACAGAGAGTTTCAAATTGAAAACAGAAACTTTTCTAAGTTAATTGAACATCAGAAGTATATTGCTAGAGTGTTCAACCACATGTTTTGGGTACAGCCTTTTTCAGGGCTGTGCATATGTAGTGTTTCATGGTACTACAATTTTGTTTGTGTAAAACTGCCATGCCAACCATCAGCCAATACAGCTTACCCTGGGGTGTATACCTCCTTAAGTTTCTGCTTCTGTCACTTCTAAAATTGTCAAAACTCTCTATTCATCATATCATCAATGTATCTTCTATCAGGTATAATGGACATACACCCCAACTAAAATTCAATTGTGGCCATACATATGGTTATCATACTGATGTTCTCTCAAAGGTATCTATTGATTAATTTTTTTGCATCTACATTAATGTAAACTGCATATTATCACTGAAGGTGTGCTAAACTAAGGTAGAATTATAATATTCTCAAACATGTCAGGGATGCTCATTAATATTCAAATGTTTTTAAATGTGCTTATTTAAAGATGGCCCTGACACACTATGTCAGTTGGATTTGAACTCTTTTAAGAAGTAAATGTTATCTTTCTACTCAGGTGAATAAAGATGGCAATTTTTTTTCTCATCATCATAGCCCTTCTCTTTAATATTTTTACAGTTTTAAAGGCTGCTCTTTTGAAAGGGGGTTATTGCTTGAGGATCTACTTTAATTGTCTTCAAACTTTACAAAGTGAAATTGTAATGACCATTCTCCAATCGTAATAATTTATCCATTGTATCGTAATCATTAACACCATCCATTGTCTACATATCAACAAGTAACGTAATCAACAACACTTTGGTAGCATCTCCTTGTCCCTTTGTTTTATGAGTAAATGCCCAGTTTTGTATTTATTAAGTCAGTCAGTAAATTCATCAAGACGCTACAGTCACGCAATAACGTCTCATGCTGGCTCCGTGTTTTCTGCAGGTTAAACAAGACAAGACCATAAAAACGATAGCACACTGAATAGAAGCAAAATATAGGAACAAATCAAACACCAACAATCGATCCTATAAAATCAAAACAACATGTTTTATAGTTCATTTTCTAAGCTATTGTTGGATTTGAATGATTTTAAATTCTTATATTTAAAACAAAGCATGTTGAGTTATATACAAGGTATCTTTCATGTCTTCTGACAGTCTGATTGATCAAAAATACCATCTTTCCTTTGATTTAGAGATATATGCGTAATGAAAAGCTAATACACACAAGGCCAGACACAGACCTACAGCTGAAAAAAACATATTTGCCAAGGCATACTGGTGATAACAAGTATGTTGAGAAAATGGTACCAGGATACACAGGTAATGATCACATTTCGTAGCAATTGAATCTCAAAGAACAAATACAACGGTAACGGCTTTAAAAAAGCAAACATTTTACATCATACTAGAAGCTTTTTCGTCTGACACTACTCAGAGCATAGAACGTCAGAATCAGGGTCCGAAAGAACACGATGAAAAATATGTACCCAGTTGTGGATTGAAATAGGCCAATCAGAAAAACGCAAGCACAAGACCGGTATAGTTGACAAATCAGTGCCGCGAACCTAAAGAAAAATTACCACTGGAGTCCAAGAGAGAAAACGAACTCCTTCTGTCTACACAATGGCGGCTTTTTCGTTTGTATGTAGATCGACTCCAAAACTGCTAGATGGAAGGATTCTGACGATTTATGCCCTGAGGAGTGTCAAACGAAAAAGCTTTTAGTATGTTGTAAAATGTTTGCTTTTTTCAAAGCCATTTTCAAATTCTGTACTGCAAAAAATTGTTCAAAAACAATGGTGTTACCATGTGTTTCTGCAGATGTTGATGCCGCCACTGCTTCTCTCGTTTTCATCTCTTAGCAGAATGTAACAAAAAGCAAATCAGTAAAGATACAAGGGGGTCCTTGCGAACATTTTCTCAAAAGCAATGGTAGCTTGTAGAAAAGAGCTACTCTTAGGCATTGACAAGAAGCTCTACACTACACCTTTGCGTTTTTACACAAACTGATATTTTTACGTGACAAGATGTATCTTTGAATCTGATCTCATATCGTCCATAACTTTTTTTCTGACTGTTTTGTCAAAACAGGCTATGTGCCAAGTCATCATTTTGGCTTTGGTACAACATACAAAGAAGGTACCGAAAGGGCTGTTGCTAAGTTTAAAAGGAAGGATGACCAACGGAAGACCGAGATACTCGATCTTAATGCTAAAGCTGCAATGGCTCCACCGTTGAAACTGTCTGCTACATACCCCCCTCCAGATGTATCGCATCCTGGCACAAATCTGCGATATGCAACAGCTTACTATGGAAAAAAATTCTGTGAGTATGCTCTCATTTTTTTGCTTGATATAATACGCAAAAATTCATAAGTTCGCGAAGGAAAGTGAAAAACTTAACAAAACTGAATTGCCTTGTAAGAATTCAAACAAAGGGCCTTTCCTTTCTATCTTCGACAGTTTCAGAACAACTACAAACAACATTTATATTTACAAAATAGGAAAAACAGATATTTATAACAACCTTGCGTCTATTACATTTTAACAAAAAGACACAGATATTGAAAATTTTCATCATTTCTATTAAAGATCGATTTATATTCAGCAAAGATTCACAAATTTCGTATTTGTGGAATTTATTGTAATTTTGAATAGCAAGTCTTTCTGAAAAGGTTTTGGCCTTCCAAACCTTAGTTTTCATTCCCTGGGTATTGTCTCTACTACTTCGGATGTTTTCCAAGTTGGAGGGGCACAGGTAGGAAGGGACACCATGTTGTAGTTGTAGAAAAAGGAGACTTTATCAAAGAGTTTATATCTTAGTAGAGGTTCTTCCAAGCGTTGGAGTGCACTTGCTCCTGGCTCACCCCCGGTTCCGACGCCCCTGATTGTCGTCTTCTGCTGGTTTCTTTGCTTCAAGTCTTCTTCAGCGTTTTAACTCCAGCCACGACTTCTAAACCAGGGACGCCAATGGCTTTTGCCAACTTATCGAAAATCTTATGTATGAATTTCCTCCCATGTATTGTCATATTCGTTTGATACCTTATACCCTTCTCTCTATCTCTATGTATATCCCCGAAACTTTCTAAGGCACTGGAATCTTTCGACATTGATCCACTCCTTATTTAGGCCTCATTTTAATTACATGCCTGCATTGCATTGTAGCTGATCATAGGGATTTCACCGAATCCCCAATCCCAGGGTACACTGGATTTGTCCCAAAGAAACAGGAGCATGAGTTAGGTTCAACCTACGGTAATTGGTCTGGAAAGGCTTATGTCGATGCGCTTACTACTAAACGAAGACAGGAGGACTCAAGCACATGGTCTATTGAACTTAAAAGGTATTTAGATGATACTTAGAGCCATATGCGCTGTCTGGGTGAAATATTTTATTCGTTTGTTGTTTGAAAAAAGTACAGATCGACGTTTTGATGTCCGTTGGATTGAAAATTGGACGAGAAGTTATTAAACGAGTAAAAAAGATTATAAGTATTTTTTTACAACTTGTTGTGGCTGATTAAAATCAAGGGGTGGTTTGAAGAAAGAAATATAATTGTTTTGAAATGTCAAAGAAATGTTGAAAAGAGTCTAATTTTTTGTTAAAAGTAAATAATGTTTTATATGGTTGCCCAATTACAGCTTTGCAAGTAAATAATTCTTTGAAATAATGTTAATCAACGGTTGCCCAATTACAGATTTGAAGGTTTTATCATATGTTGAAAGGCTTATTTTCTTTGAGAAATTTCAAAGAAACATAGTTCTGTAACATTTCAATGTTCGTTTTAAGGTCGCTTCCATCTTTATCGAAGACTGGAAGCTATGGAAATATTTACAAGCCAATTGGAATGGTACCAAAGTACACTGGCTATGTCCCAGGTAATTTTTTAATTGGGTTTTCACCCTCTATACACTTAATGAAGAAATTGCACAAATTTTCATGCTTTGATAGATATAATGAAGAGAGGCAACGTAGGCTGATTTTCGAAGATATAATGAAGGAGGCAACGTGCTTAAATTCTAATGCAGTTAAGACAGTGAAAAAGGGTCATCGAGGCATTTTCTCTTTGTAAAATGTATCAATCCACTTTTCTTGTTTGCTATAAACTGCACAAGGTTACTGTGCTTGTTTGACAGTGCTCAATAATTTAGTGAACGATACTTTTATCTGTTGCAAACGAATTTTTAAAGATTCAAGTAAAAGCCCCAAAATAAAGTTTGTCGCAAGCCTTACAAGAGCATTTTAGTCTTAAACTAGCTTTACAAGAGACAAACTTCTCCTGGAAAGTGACAATTGTATGGATCTGTCTTTTGGCGAAGGTATGGGCAGTAGATTGAAATTTTTCTACAAGTACCCAATGTTTAGAAGACCAAAAATCAGAAAAGGTCACTGAGGAAGCATTTACTCATTGAAAAAAGGAAATGAATAGGTTGTTATAGGATAATTGATACAGTGTTTGAAAGGGCATCAATTTTTTATTTCGTTGTCCAAGTAACACCAGGTGTTCGTTTATGATATCTGCATTTTTATAGAAAGGGTATTCTTGACGATAATTAGCCATTTGATTCATAGATACGCTAATGTTTCCTAAGGACATTTACTTTGAAGGAGCATGTAGCTATCTTAATATAGTTGCTAGTAGCTGTTATTCAATATTTGTCATTGCATACCTAGCTTTAAATGGGGACCTGAAAGCTAAGACATAGAAATTTTGAAACCAATTCAAAAGCGTAACTTATCCTTGGTGTTTTTCTGAAAATCTTGTATTTTAATATTGGCTGAGCATCTTACTTCCTATCTGTTGCTCATTGAAGGATAGTGCTTTAGTTAGGATAACTAAGAATTTTATTTCCTTTAGCCTTGTTATTAGTTTAGCTGTTAATCAATTTATAGAAACACCTGTTGCAAACTGCATAAGACGCTCTATGCTCTCCATATAATCAATTTTTTAGGTTCCCCGCATCCCTCCATAGGTGACATTCATTGTTAATATACATCTAATAACACGGCTATATTTTCCTTTAGGGGGACGGTTTGAGATCAGCAACACTTATGGTGACATGACTCGACTGTTGCCAGTTTGTAAAGATACATTTGGGTATTCACTTGGAAGATACAACCACCCAGGCCCTCCAATCAAAAGAGAAGTTATACCAGCTTAAAAGACGTTTAATATATACCAAAGGAAGTTGCACGAGATGAACAAAAATCAACGGAAAGGTCCTTGTGTCATGGATTGGGATATTTTCTTTTTCTGAGTGAACAGATGGCTAAGCAAATCAGCCACATATCGATGTCGATCACTTTTTAGTATTAACATCTCTAACATAAATTGTAGTTAAGAAATATTTAGAATTAAACTTTGCGTTTCGCAGCATCTTTACGAAAGGAACCAAAAGTCTAATCCAGGGCCTGCGCCACGGGGAGGGGGTGCTTGGTGACTATGGCCCCTCCACTTTTTGCGAAGCAGATAAATTGAAAGCTGCAGTAAAAGGGGAAAGAAGCCTTGCCTCCTACTCTTGCTAGCCTTGCCCCCCCCCCTCCACTTTCAAATTCGTGGCTTGGGCCCTGTAATCTGTAGATATTAGACTCTCTTTAAACCATCAACTTATCTTCTTTGTGTACGTACTTGATCAATGTCTTTTTATTATAGCTTGATACCCATAATTCTTTTGGGTGTAGCAGGCTCAAATGGTATCTAAAGTATAAGTCTTCAATTATTGCGCATCCAAACAGCATCTTTTAATTTCATGCTAAATATATCAACAGTTTAAAACTTGCTCCTAATGCCAAATCGTTTATTCTGTGAGGTGCGTGTTTGCAAAGCTTTTACTAAGCTACAGTGTCCTCCCCACATCTGGAAGAAAGTTCAAAATTTTATGCATAAATTTTTTTGTGTGGCACATGAGTTAGACAAACCCTTTCATGGCAATGATTAGCTAGATAAGCGTAATTTTCAATAGAAAGCCAAACGAGGCCTTTGCTGTAAACCTTTCTTTTCGTTAAGGGGGCAGCTGTACAATAAATCCTTTTTCATATATGCTCTTGCTCAACTTGACCTAACTTCTGATGAAAGATTTGGTACTTTTTGTCGAAAATGTATTTTACATTGCATACTTTGTGTGTAGAGATATGATTAAATTTGATTTAGATTTGATTCTTACTCAATCGTAGAGTAATTTCAGGGATGTATATCTTTTTTAAAAATGAGGTCACTTAAACTTGTTTGCTAATATGTCTATGTTTTGTTGTTTTTTCCCATCTTGGAGTCGTTTACCCCTTTCTGACTTGGTTTGCGCAATCGCTACTTTGTCACTACTCTCATTTACACGGAAACATATCTATAAATTTTCATATTCAATATATTTACTATTTGACCATATCTAATAAACTTTGTGCATTCACAGCCAAATGAAACGGTTTTAAGTTTCCACCAAGCGTTTTCGAGGGCTGATTTGCTGGGCTTTTGACTTCTTGAAAGTCGAATAACGTAACATTAACAGCTCTATTCATGCTCATCTACATTCAAGCGATCTTCATAATGTTCCATCTTTACGCTTAATGTTTTATTCTAAATCTTTGCGAGACCTTTCCAATCGCCACGTCACTATCAAACCAGGTAAAGATATGCAGCACAATTACAACGAAAGTGTTACGGATTATGGATACTGCCTAGGATCTTCCTTGATTCTGAATCGAAGTTTTAAAGTTTCTAGATGAAGATGCTATCAGAGTTGTCATTTTTTGATTTTACTAAATGGAAGGTTTCAACAATGCAAAAGCAAATTTTCTACATCAGTGGGATTTTCCCTTTACGATATTGACTGACTCTATGTTCTCCCTCGTGGGTTAATAAAATAATAGGGGGAACAGCCACATTGCCCACGAGGCTTGCTCCTACGCATCATATAAATAGAAACGGTGAGGAGGCGCAATCCCCTTTCCGAACGTTCGCACGTGTTCATCTGGCACCAGTAAAAACTTTCACTTTGGGGGGATATATTGTTATTTTGCAAGATGTGAGTATCAAATCTATGTACTTTGTGTAAATAAACGACACTCAAGATTGTAACTCCAGCAAGAATGGCTGAATTTTCAGGGTAAGTTGACCAGAATCATTATGTTTTCGTATTGGTCGTGGACTGCCTGGTTTGGTGTACACTCGTTGTTTTAGGCCCAGTTGTATTAAATGGTTCTTGTAATCACTGCAAATCTCTCTTTAGCTGCATTGCAATTAATAATTTCTCATGCTTCTCATATGCTGTGCAAAGTTAGATTGTGTCGACCCTTTTGTGTTTTATTGACATGTGCTGATTTGCTGCATGATAAATCAGCCAAGCGTCTCGAGCCTATAGTGTCTAAGACAACATAATTTAACAGATTTCGAAGAAGGCTGAGAAGAAGTCTAGCTACACTTTATGTTAGACTTAATGCTGACATAGCACCTTTTCTATGTTTTTTGCTGCCTGTAAATAATATCCGTACTTCACTCTATCTCAAATGCAAACCTAACGATTGATATATTACAAAAAACTATGAAAATCTACAGAAGCTTGACTTGAAATATATCATTTACAACGACATGCATAAAAATAAACCATTTTGAAACTATTTAAATGATTTGTCTGACGGGGTTATAAGCTCAACTTTTTACAATAGTCCTTCACTGATTACATGCAAAATAAACACAAACTAACAATTGTTTTTAACTGGTTTGGAGATTAATTTCCTTATACTTTTAACTGTTTTTCAGATTTTCCTAGCTTATACAGTATTTTAAGATTTGTCTTAAAGGACAGAGAAATGGCAGCAAAATAGGCGAATAGAAGCACTGTCAAGCCTACCTTAAAAATATCTATTGTTGTAAAAGAATTCTCTAGCTCTTCTTGAAAATTGCCATAAAAATAATACTGCTACCAAATTAAAAAAATTATTACATCAAAAGAGCAAGGAATATTTGTTGGATAATAAAAATATTTTTGAAAATAAAGTCATAGAAAATATGTGCTTTTTTAGCATCACACTAGCATAGTGTTCTAGAATTATGACATCACAAAAATCTGGATTTGGATCCCATAACCTGAAAGAGTACATAAATTACCTCTAATTATGCAAAATCAGTCAAATGTGTTTCGAATTGGCTGAGATACGGCCACAAGTTCACTAGCTGTTTCCTCTGTAATTTTGACTTTGTTCATAAATTTATTATTAATCAATTTCTCAAGCAATTTTTGAAAAAATAAAAGTTCTTAAAAAATTTTTGTCGGAAAATCTAAATTTCTCACCCCTTCTATGAATTTTTCTTTTCTACGCGAACTGGATTGATAATGACTCTGATCGTCGAAAGATCTTCTTTTGCGGTCCATTTGCCCCCTGCCTACCGCATCATTAAAAAAAGCCCATCTTTATTAGAGCAATTTTCTCGTTATTTACCCTGATTGGGGCGAAAACTGGAAGGGAATAGTTTAGAACACAATCTGACAACTGCCATTTTTCCGGGGGAATGTGAATAGAGCAGAGCACTTTAGGAAGACAAAAAATAGGCACTATTCAAAGAGATGGCTGATGTTGCTCAGCTTATGATAAATAAAACTCCAATATTTCCTTGAAGAAAACAAATTTTTGAAGGTCAAAAACAACAGTCAAATATACAACTCATGCGATTAATCGCTTGCATTATTGGTGCCACGATTTGCCAATGCTTGCATGTTACACATTAAACGGCAAACACCCCATCCCCGTAAAATTAAAACATCCCTGTAAAATTAAAATTAAACGGAGGGATTTTAGGCAGGCATTTATATGTGTGCCTTGTTATGCTATCTAGCATACCCAACCTAAACAATTAGGTTTTCTGAGAAAGTTTTTTAAACAAACAAATAAAAAACAAAAACTCTTGACCCATTCTATCAATATAATGGATCAAGAGTATTTGTTTGAACATTCTTTAAAATATAGTCTGCTCTTGTTCTTGATGAAAATGCAATAAATTTTCCATTCATCAATAGGTGGGAGATCTATACAACACATGTGCAAGCCAAGCTTTCCATTAAAGCTTGCTTTCATTTTATATTTTTTCAATGAAAAATTTCTAGCAATGCTAAATTATTGTAGTTTCCTAGTTAATTATGGGTTTGTGACCACACGGCAAAGAGGCCAAGGCCACTGGCCCTTATGAAAATCTAGGTTGTTATTCTTAGTCTTCTGAATTGTACATATATATTAATATGTTTTCATATACTCAATCTGCAGACAAAAATACACTACAGCCCCTTTAAAGAATATGCATCAAAGTGTCGCAGGGAACTAAACTGGTTATTTGAGACTGAGTGTGAAAATTGCAATGGGATAACAGCAATCATTGTGATATTCTACAATAACTGCACCAGTTTCCTTATTTTTTTCTTTAAATTTAGGCAATTCTGAAGGCACAAATTAGTGGCATGCTGACAGTAGATTGTACTAAACAGCATGAACAAATTCACCTTTAGATTTAGTTGAAAAGAATAAACCACATTTGATTCTTAGAAAATCAAATTGAATTGTCTGAAAACTTTTCGATCTTCATTTATACTTGTACACGATCAGATTTAGTTGCTTTTGATGATGAGTAGAATTCAATAAAAACTGGCTGTGTAAGAGGGACTTTGCAAGCCAGTTCTGCTCGTTCCATTATGACTGAATCAATGTTGAAGAAATTGTTTGATTTGCTACAAAATTTTTGTCAAAAATTTTCTGGCTGTGGGGCTGTTGTTTTTACCAGAATTCTGTCTCTTCCTACAAGAGTAGAGACCTACATATGTAGCTTCATGACCTTGCACACTCTTTCAACCCCTGGTATTTCATTAATAACATAATAATATAATTGCAAAAAGTGAGGGGGCATAGCCCCTGCTAGCTCAATGGCTGTGCCATGCTGGTATGGACCCTTTATTCATGGTAGGAAATTAAAAAATAAAGTCTTTCGCAAATTATTTTAGAAAGCATCTCACTTTGCTAATTCAATTGATTTATTTATTGTTTAAATTAACATGTGCTTTCAATTCCTAGTGTTGACAAGGAAGCACAGAGAAGAGAAATCCACGAAGCAACCAGTACTCACTTGTCAGACTGGGATCCTATGACTGATGCATTCCAGGGAAAGGCATTCAACAACTACTTTGAGCCAAAGTATGATTCCAACTTTCGTGAAAAATACACAGTAGCTGAAGGGTAGGGGAAACACATTTATATGTACATTATTTTTCAAAGACAAAAGTTTGCAAAGTTTAGGAATCCATGTTTGTTATGCTCCACTTAGGCATTTTTAATGACTTGGATTGAACTTACAACCTGATGATTTAAAATTCTTTTCATGATTTAAAGAAACTGAGCAGAAAATGATTAAATATGATATTATTAAGTCTTTCTTCCACAGCAAAATCTAATTTACAATGATTTTTTGCTTAAGATTTGCTAAAGAGACATGATAATAAATAGCCTAAAAATTTTTAAAATATGTTTCCATATCGTAAAGGAAAATTATCAAATAAGGTTTGTCTGCAAATGCAGTTATGAATTTTGTAGAAGTTTAGATACAAATTATTTGAAAATGGAGAAAAAGACCATCACAGTTTTTATTTTAGATAAAGTGCAGTGTCTTAATATACTCATTGCCAAATTTGGCCTTAAATGTTGTTGTCTAATATCTTTTATTAAAACTTGAATATATGTAGAAAAAGTGATATGGGAAGTACCCAATTAAAGAACGGAGGGAAACAAATGATACTATGGGGGTTAAGTTTGACAGTTATGGTGAATTTAATAGCATATCCAGAATCTTCATACATGGCACAGTTTCATGGACCAGAATCATCCAAACACATAATATTTTAGGGTTTTAATGTTTTAGTTCTCTTTGAAAACTCTAACCGGAATTCAAACTAAAATTTAAAAAAATTTAAATCCCCATAACTTCTAAAGGTTTTGCAACTTTAGAGAAAAATGTACAGATGTGCTTGTGATATGTTAAGGTACTATAGACAGAACTTTAGCCAATTCTGATATGGTGGGTGTCATACCCTTGTTAAGTTGACATGGAATGATCCAAAATCCAAACTAAAACTCTTTGCAATATGTATATTTTGTACTTAAGTATTTCATTCACAAAAAGTCAAAAGGACATTGTTCCCTGTCCTTGTCATCATTCCCTATTATTGAATGTCTTAGTCTTAGCTTGAGCTTTATGCTTCTTGCAGTTCCCGAGCTTTGCACCAGTCGGTCTCTCCATCCAAAGCTGAAAGCAATAAAGTAAATTTGTACATTGGTAATATACCATTGACTCTTTCAAGGGTAAGTTTTTGAAACCTTAATTTTTGTGTCAGTTTTGTAAAGTGTTAAATTAATGCTTACACTTGTTATTGGATCATCTGTTTCCTGGAATTGTGTTGGTGACTGTATTGTGAAGAATTTTCATTGGAGACTCTATCAAATTATTGGCTGTGCAGAATATCAATTCAAACAACCACCTAGCCACTACTAGATATTATTGGTAAAAAGATAAGGAGTATTTTTTAGTCTACCAATGAGCACATATTTGTTGCTTTTGGATAAAGATATCTGTTTTTGATTTTGTCCTGATTGAGATAATTTATGATTTAAAAAGGGGGTCATAATTACAAAATAACCTCATTTTATACTGAATAGAAATTTCTGATTTGAATTTTTCTTTTTTCTGTTATTTAGGACGGCCTAAAGAGTTTGCTATCAAGAGCTGCTCAAGTTAACTCACTTTCTATTCTACCATCAAAGGACCCAGAGAGAGGAACAACATATGGGTATGTAGCTTTTGTTTCAGTGATATGCTGTTAAAACAGACAAATTTATTAATGTTTGTTACATAGACTCAAGCTTCATAAGTTTTACGGTCAAATGATTTATGATACCCTTGTTCTTTGTCTCATTAGGCAAGAGTTTTGACATATACCAAAACCTTAATAACTTGACTATTCATAAACTCTATTAATGTTTTTAAGGAAAGCGCATTCAACTCTAGTCTCTTTGGCAGAATTTTGTTTCACAGATTTCCTTCTCTCCAATCAATGTTGTGACTGGTGCATTATTATATCGCTCAGCATGCTAGTCATCTTTTTTTTAGTAATTTTTTGAGTCTGGTCACTTTCTTATAGGTTTGCATCTGTCAGCTCTGCCAAAGATGCTGAAAGTGTAATTGAGGCATTCCATAATTACTCGTTTGGCACCCGGCATAGACTGCGAGTTAAGCTTGCTATGTCAGATGAGGAAAGAGAAAGACAGAGAGAAAGACAAAGAGAAGACGAAGAGTTTTACAGAAATCTTTGCAAGGAATATAGCGAAAATCTAGAAGCAAACACTGATAATAGCATTAGGTGAGTTATTTCTGAATCAGGTTTTTGTCTTTAATTCAACCGATTAAGAAAAATCAATAGCAAGACTTTTTTTAAGAAAATAGTTTTTATCTGAAAAAATTCAGCATTGTTTTTGGCATATCTAGTTAAAAATAGGGGTATTATCCACCCCTAGTCCCTTTTAACTTTACATCCTGGCTGGAAAGTGTGTTAACTTAACCTGACTGAAAATTGTGTTATTTTAGCCGAATTTATAGTAGAAACCAAAAATTTGCTGTTTAATGATCAAAAATTAATGTTACTAAATAACGACTTAATATTTATAATTTATATAATGTAATTAAATAACGGTCAAGTATAATTGCGACGTTTCAAGCAAAGCTCTTCATCAGGTAAAAGAGGTTGGAGAAATTCCCGGGGGTAGTTGTGGACTACAAATTTACCTGATTTAAAAATTATTGCCTGAAATTTTATAGCCGCTGTCACAAACCTCTGCAATACATTTTGTCAATCCAACTCTGTATGATAATAACCGACTTTCCTAATAGTTTTGTCAAATCTCTATATCGGGACGGGCAAAGGATATAGTTACTACCTGAGGCGGCACCGTGGTTGCCACCAACGGAGGAGGAAATTTTCGAATTTTGATGCTTCTAGTTCCTTTGAAAATGCAATCCTTAAGCAAATTTCACTAAATCAATCCTCCTAATCCTATTGAAAATTATTATATTTTTGCAAAAAAATTTACAGCAGATAAAAACAACAATTTCGCTGTGGTCTTGAAAAATACCAGGTTGTCAGTTACTTCTAAATTTAGATCCCTCTCTCCATCTTAGCATGCCTTTTGAATGTTAAGAAAAATCTGGATGTTGACGCTTCTACTGAGAAACTTTAGGAGAAATGGACACAAGACACAATTTTATCTAAAGTGGGCCTGGATTTTTGGATTTATTGCCAACAAGCAATCTTCAAATCTTCAAATCATTAGTTTGTTTACCTTCATTCATATCAAGGAATATCATATTTAACCAACGGAGCAACTACCTTTGCTCGATCCTTTATTGATTTTATGACATGAAGGTCTCTGAAATACCTAAAGCGTTTCTTCCACCAAACGGATTTTACCTGAAATTTCCTATTGCAATACTATTTGGGGTGGGTGTGACACAACCCCCCCCCCCACCCCCGGTCGCGACGCCCCTGGGGACAATATTAACATTTCATCTGTGACAGTGACATACTGGCTTTACAAGAATTTATTATTGCTATAATATCTTCAAACTTAATGAAAAAGTAATGTAGTTTATTACATTGCCATTTTTTAATTTCCTTGATTTATGCATGCCATATCTGTTGTATGGAGAATTTGAATCGTATGAAAGGGATGTTTATTGAGTTCATCACTAAAGGTCCTGCACGTTCTCCCTAGAATTGCTGTTAAACTAGCAAGCATTCTCAAGTATCGAATAATCGCCCCCCCCCCACCCCCGCTTATTACGTTATATCTTCAATGTTCAACTTGATCTTTATGGGTGTTAAAGCCTTTGGCCATTGCATGTTTTTTGAGCTCTTATCAAGGTAGTGGGTGTCAGGAATTGCATTTCCAGTTAAAGATAGTAAAAACCCTCTTTTTCACCGGACATTATTTCTTTCCAGTTCGATTGCAGCAGAAGATTATCCGGAAAAACAAGGCCAACCAAATAGTAAAGAAGTCAAGTGTTCGACCAACGGAGAATCTGTATTACCTATTGCGATGGGCAGTTCAACGGGCAATAAAAGTAAGTTTTGCATTCCTTTTCAATGGCCGTGACATTATCTTTAGAATTTTGGATTTTTTGCTCTTACTAAATTGTTATTCTGATTTCAAAGCAGACGACAACATTTCAGTACTCATAAGCGAGGGAAGTTATACCTAAGGGAAGTCGCAATTTCGGGGAGTTTTCCCCATTTGTGACGTCATGCATAGGACACACGTTTCACAAAGAGCAAATTTGGAACTATGGCCGAATTGCAGTTTATTTGGATATTCTTTTTTCCGCCACTACGTCAGTGCTTTTCCCTTTTCGGAACGGTTTTTGCCTGATGCTTTCAGGAACATGTCGTTTGATTCTTTCTTGTAACATTTGACTAGTGCGTCTAACATGCAGAGCTTCACATTTGTAATATCGTGTTTGCTAGGAAGTATGATCTTAGTACTTTATAGACCACACGTGGATTCACCGTTGAAAAACGATTGGTTATGGTCTTTTTTATTTTTCCTTCCACATTGTGATAAACATTTCCAGGCTTTTTTTGCAAAAGGAATTCCAGCATATTTATTGCCCAGTAAGTGTTGGTTTGTTGTGTACGCTAGTAAGAAATCCATTTCCTTCACAAGTGAAAACCCAAAAGGTTGTTTTTATTCCTTATTCATTAGTAAGCAGGGGCGGACACTTGGTTAAATATTGGGGGGGGCAAGCCTATTGTTTTAGTAAGATGATGTCACATTTTCCATTGTTTTAGAACAAAAGATCATTATCATTGTCTTATTAAGTATTGGGGGCGGTCGTCCCCCTCGCCCCCACCCGCCACCCCCCTAAGTGTCCGCCACTGATAGTAAGCTTAAGAACTGGGTGTAACAAATCCCACGAAAGTACTCGCTAAAGTCGGGCTCCAACGGCTACATAAGCAACTCTACCTACCCACCTACCCATATAGATAGCATTGCCTAGTGAGAAGCGACAACGTGATTTTGAGGCAAATCTCCAGCAAATGGCGTTTTTGTCATTTTGCACTTGCTGTGCTGGCTTTAGCAGATATGACTTCGTTTTTCGAAGATGCATCACACTTGCAGTGTGATTGCATCAGAATGTGAAGTAATTTTAAAATCTATGACAAACCCAATTTTGGGTTAATTTTTGCAAACCCAGCTTACATTGCCTACAATTTTACTGCAAACTAAAATTAATCACCATGAGTTAGTATCATACACGTTTTTTTGAAATGAACCGCGAAAAGTTTAAATTAAAGTTCTTAGGCGTTTATTCGTTGCACTTTGTTCAGGGCCTAACACTTTTAAACTCAGTTTTGGGTGCTTTGAGCGTACTCGTCTCAATAAATTAACTTTTAGAAGAGAATTATGCTTTTTCATTGACTGCTTTTGGAATCTTTATTTTTTGAACACGAGTTCCAATACAACCGGACTTGTAAAAATAGAGTTTTATCTGTTTGGGGTTTATCTGTTCTGCGTGTTATGCTCTAGTGTAACAATGTTATAGCGTGATACTTCTGTTAATTAGAATGAAATGTAGTATTTACTTTATAAGCAATCAAACACTGTACCCCAATATCATTGTTTAAATGTTCGCTTGTTTTCCAATATATTGCATTACAGTGTGGTTGCTTTATTTTCTACGACCTTTGATTTTCAGAAACAAGACTGTGTTTGGCTTGTAACAAGGAAGGAAAACTTGCATGCATGCGTTGCAAGGGCTGCTACTGCAGTATGGATTGCCAAACCAAGCACTGGCCGAAGCACCGAACAGATTGCCTTGGGACAAATAGGTCGCCAAAAAAGCCACATGGGCACTTGAATGGGACAAGTACATCCAATCAGGGCAAACCTGAAGAGCATCTATGTGAAGAGCAATTGCTTGTCCAACTTGATGATCTTGAGCTTGAAGAGCATGCTATTTTCAATATTGATGAAATCCCTCCTCAAAAAGAGTTGCCGAAAGAGACACAAGTTGTAATCTATGTCGTAGAAAATTTAACCATGAAAGGTCAGGCTGTGAGCCGAGAAAACACTGAGGAATTTCTGGAGCTGACAGAAAGGTTATCTGAACATGTTAAGGGCTCTCCTCAGATCCTAACTGAACATGATTGCAGAGAGGGTATACTTGTTCTCTTTAACTATCAAAATGAAACCTGCCGTGGTGTTATTACCAAAGTCAAAAAGGCAACTTTAGAAGTCGAAGTGCTTGCTGTTGACTATGGTAATAAAACAACATTGAATATCTCAGATGTTTACCTGATGCCTCGTTTTGGAGTAGATCTGCCAAGACAATGCAGAACACTAGTTCTACATGCTTTCCCCAAAGATTTCGATAAAGCTACTGGAGAAAAATTATCAAGCCACTTGAAAGAACTGGTTTTCGAGAAAGTGATGCTCTGTCAAGTCAAAGACGTTAAAAAAGGTGTTTGTCACGTTGTTTTGAAAGACAGAAATACCGGATCCTACATTAATAGCCAAATGAGTGAATTGTTAGAAAGCCTGACTGATCAAAGCAGTGAAAAGATAATGCTTGAAAATATTTCTATGCAGCCAATTCCAACTGAATGTAAATTTGATATTTTGGTAACTGATGTGGTCTCACCGTCATGCTTTTATGCCCAGATTATAACCGAGGACAGATCAAATATCAAGGCTTTAGCAGAAATGAGCAACTTGCTTTCGAAGTTCGCTGAAGGCAACACGGCCTTTTCTTTCAAACCGGAGATCAACGAACTCTGCATTGCCTATTTTGCAGATGACGCGGCTTGGTCAAGAGCTGTGGTCACCAAAAAGAATGAGGATGGAACATACCAAATTATGTATATAGACTACGGAAATCATTTAGAAATAGATCCGTGCTTCTTACGACCAATTACAAAAGATTTGTCAAGACTTCCAATGCAGGCCCGAAAATTCTCTCTTCATGGTATCCAGCCAGCATCATCATTAAGTGGCCCTTGGACCAATCAAGAGAAGACATTCTGTAAAGAAACCCTTTTGATGAATGCCCTATGCTCTGTAGATGTTATCACAAAAGATGAAACCTGTGCTGTCAAAGTTTATCTTCCGGAAATTGACTACTATCTTGATCAGTTAATGATAGACAATGGATTTGCCGTGGCTACTAATAGAGCGTCATCAAAGCTACTAGCCACAAATGGAGAAAAGCAGCCTAGCAACAGTCTTGAAAACCAAGTAACTAGAACTCCAGTCGAACCAATTTTTACTATCGACATTGAAAAGCTAAAGGCTAAAGAAACACAAAGAGTTATTCCAGTTCATGTAGAATCTCCTGAAGAAATATATGTACAAATTGCTGATGCTGAAAAGATTGGAAAAGTAAACGAATTCTCAGCTCTACTTGCCGATATGCAGCCAGTCCCTTACATGACCCCAAGGGTAGACGACTCTTGCTGTGCTCTTTTTACCGATGAAACTTGGTACAGAGCAAAAGTACTTTCTGTTAATGGTGACATTTGTCGTGTTTTCTTTTATGATTATGGAAACACGTTCGAAGCAACAAAAGACAGGCTTAGAATGATGCCAAATGAACTGAAGTCACTACCTGGTCAAGCTATACGTGTGACATTATGTGACATTGAGCCAGCAGGCGCTAATTGGACTGAGAATGCAAAGGCATTTTTGGAAGAGAGGATTGTTTTCCAGCCATGCATGTTTGACGTTTTGAGAACTGAGAACGAGAGAACCTTTGGAAAGATGATCTGTGAAGAGATTGGTGAAGATGTAGGGAAACTCTTAGTTGATGCTAAGCTTGCTGCTGTTTCTGGCACAAAGCAAGGTAGTCCTTCTGTAACTAAGGCAAAAGAAAGTTCTATTCAGGCCAACACTAGCAGCCGAAGTGAAAATCAAGCAGCTAGGCTACAGGTCAGGGAACCATTTACCATCAACATTGAAAAGCTAAAGGCAAAAGAAACACAAAGAGTTATTCCAGTTCATGTAGAATCTCCTGAAGAAATATATGTACAAATTGCTGATGCTGAAAAGATTGGAAAAGTAAACGAATTTTCAGCTCTATTTGCCAATATGCAGCCAGTCCCTTACATGACCCCAAGGGTAGACGACTCTTGCTGTGCTCTTTTTACCGATGAAACTTGTTACAGAGCAAAAGTACTTTCTGTTAACGGTGACATTTGCCGTGTTTTCTTTTATGATTATGGAAACACGTTCGAAACAACAAAAGACAGGCTTAGAATGATGCCAAATGAACTGAAGTCACTACCTGGTCAAGCTATACGTGTGACATTACGTGACATTGAGCCAGCAGGCGCTAATTGGCCTGAGAATGCAAAGGCATTTTTGGAAAAGAGGATTGTTTTCCAGCCTTGCATGTTTGACGTTTTGAAAACTGAGAACGAGAGAACCTTTGGAAAGATGATCTGTGAAGAGATTGGTGAAGATGTAGGGAAACTCTTAGTTGATGCTAAGCTTGCTGCTGTTTCTGGCACAAAGCAAGGTAGTCCTTCTGTAACTAAGGCAAAAGAAAGTTTTATTCAGGCCAACACTAGCAGCCGAAGTGAAAATCAAGCAGCTAGGCTACAGGTCAAGGCACCATTTACCATCGACATTGAAAAGCTAAAGGCAAAAGAAACACAAAGAGTTATTCCAGTTCACGTAGAATCTCCTGAAGAAATATATGTACAAGTTGCTGATGCTGAAAAGATTGGAAAAGTAAACGAATTCTCAGCTCTACTTGCCGATATCCAGCCAGTCCCTTACATGACCCCAAGGGTAGACGACTCTTGCTGTGCTCTTTTTACCGATGAAACTTGGTACAGAGCAAAAGTACTTTCTGTTAATGGTGACATCTGTCGTGTTTTCTTTTATGATTATGGAAACACGTTCGAAACAGCAAAAGACAGGCTTAGAGTGATGCCAAATGAACAGAAGTCACTACCTGGTCAAGCTATACGTGTGACATTGTGTGACATTGAGCCAGCAGGCGCTAATTGGACAGAGAATGCAAAGGCATTTTTGGAAGAGAGGATTGTTTTCCAACCATGCATGTTTGACGTTCTGAGAACTGAGAACGAGAGAACCTTTGGAAAGATGATCTGTGAAGAGATTGGTGAAGATGTAGGGAAACTCTTAGTTGATGCTAAGCTTGCTGCTGTTTCTGGCACAAAGCAAGGAAGTCCTTCTGTAACTAAGGCAAAAGAAAGTTCTATTCAGGCCAACACTAGCAGCCGAAGTGAAAATCAAGCAGCTAGGCTACAGGTCAAGGAACCATTTACCATCGACATTGAAAAGCTTAAGGCAAAAGAAACACAAAGAGTTATTCCAGTTCACGTAGAATCTCCTGAAGAAATATATGTACAAATTGCTGATGCTGAAAAGATTGGAAAAGTAAACGAATTCTCAGCTCTACTTGCCGATATCCAGCCAGTCCCTTACATGACCCCAAGGGTAGACGACTCTTGCTGTGCTCTTTTTACCGATGAAACTTGGTACAGAGCAAAAGTACTTTCTGTTAATGGTGACATTTGTCGTGTTTCCTTTTATGATTATGGAAACACGTTCGAAACAACAAAAGACAGGCTTAGAGTGATGCCAAATGAACTGAAGTCACTACCTGGTCAAGCTATACGTGTGACATTGTGTGACATTGAGCCAGCAGGCGCTAATTGGACTGAGAATGCAAAGGCATTTTTGGAAGAGAGGATTGTTTTCCAACCATGCATGTTTGACGTTTTGAGAACTGAGAACGAGAGAACCTTTGGAAAGATGATCTTTGAAGAGATTGGTGAAGATGTAGGGAAACTCTTAGTTGATGCTAAGCTTGCTGCTGTTTCTGGCACAAAGCAAGGTAGTCCTTCTGTAACTAAGGCAAAAGAAAGTTCTATTCAGGCCAACACTAGCAGCCGAAGTGAAAATCAAGCAGCTAGGCTACAGGTCAGGGAACCATTTACCATCGACATTGAAAAGTTAAAGGCAAAAGAAACACAAAGAGTTATTCCAGTTCACGTAGAATCTCCTGAAGAAATATATGTACAAATTGCTGATGCTGAAAAGATTGGAAAAGTAAACGAATTCTCAGCTCTACTTGCCGATATGCAGCCAATCCCTTACATGACCCCAAGGGTAGACGACTCTTGCTGTGCTCTTTTTACCGATGAAACTTGGTACAGAGCAAAAGTACTTTCTGTTAACGGTGACATCTGTCGTGTTTTCTTTTATGATTATGGAAACACGTTCGAAACAACAAAAGACAGGCTTAGAATGATGCCAAATCAACTGAAGTCACTACCTGGTCAAGCTATACGTGTGACATTATGTGACATTGAGCCAGCAGGCGCTCCTTTGGCTAAGAATGCAAAGGCATTTTTGGAAGAGAGGATTGTTTTCCAGCCATGCATGTTTGACGTTTTGAGAACTGAGAACGAGAGAACCTTTGGAAAGATGATCTGTGAAGAGATTGGTGAAGATGTAGGGAAACTCTTAGTTGATGCTAAGCTTGCTGCTGTTTCTGGCACAAAGCAAGGTAGTCCTTCTGTCACTAAGGCAAAAGAAAGTTCTATTCAGGCCAACACTAGCAGCCGAAGTGAAAATCAAGCAGCTAGGCTACAGGTCAAGGAACCATATACCATCGACATTGAAAAGTTAAAGGCAAAAGAAACACAAAGAGTTATTCCAGTTCACGTAGAATCTCCTGAAGAAATATATGTACAAATTGCTGATGCTGAAAAGATTGGAAAAGTAAACGAATTCTCAGCTCTACTTGCCGATATGCAGCCAATCCCTTACATGACCCCAAGGGTAGACGACTCTTGCTGTGCTCTTTTTACCGATGAAACTTGGTACAGAGCAAAAGTACTTTCTGTTAATGGTGACATCTGTCGTGTTTTCTTTTATGATTATGGAAACACGTTCGAAACAGCAAAAGACAGGCTTAGAGTGATGCCAAATGAACTGAAGTCACTACCTGGTCAAGCTATACGTGTGACATTATGTGACATTGAGCCAGCAGGCGCTACATGGGCTAAGAATGCAAAGGCATTTTTGGAAGAGAGGATTGTTTTCCAGCCATGCATGTTTGACGTTTTGAAAACTGAGAACGAGAGAACCTTTGGAAAGATGATCTGTGAAGAGATTGGTGAAGATGTAGGGAAACTCTTAGTTGATGCTAAGCTTGCCTTTAATTCATGCAAAGAGGGCGCTAAGTATTCGAATGAAGTAAGAAAGCAAGATGGTAAATCTGCGGATGAAGTATCTTCAAAAGAAGCTAATTCGAGCAGCAATGACCTTGGGCACTGTCCAAGCACTAAAGCCTATGTTCCAGTTTTCTCTAAGCATAATGGTGCTGGAACAAACGATTCTGAGGGATTTCCATCAGTTTGCTCGAAAGATGTAGAAAAAAAAGAAAGTGACTTTAGTGGAGATGTAGTTGATGGTAAAATGTCATCTAGTAGATACAAAAATTCTCATTACCATTCGTCTGGACTCAAGCCAAGAAGTAAGAGCTGTAGCAACTCAGAAAATGAAGATTCTCAAAAGAATGGATTTGCAAATGATCAGAGTGGAAGTAAATGGAACAGTGGTTCAAACCACCAAAAGTTTGCAGGAAGAGGATATTTTAGAGGGGCAGGCAGAGGAGCAAGCAGAGGTGCAAGCAGAGGAGGAAGCAGAGGACCTGGTTTTATGCAGAACAATGGATTTCCTGAAGCTTTTCCTCCACCAGCCTTTATGGAGCAGATGTCCAATTTTTTTGAAAATGCAGGAAATCTGCCATTTGACCCTCAATTGCTGCAATACTACAGTCCTTTCTTGTTTCCATTCAATCCCTATATGTTCTCAAATCAAGCAAATAATGCTAATTTACATGGTGGTGATAATCGTTTTGCCAGTAATGGTAGCGTTAATGGCTTTGGCAATTTAAATGGAGCTCGTGGTAAAGGAGTTTGTAACCAAAGAGGTCGTACCAGGGGAAGAGGTCGTGATATTAATGTGGAATTTCACCAAAGGGAATCGTCTTCTTCAAGTAATGACGAATTAGAACAGAATGAAAATGGAAATTTGAGAGGGAGGGTTTCTCGTGGAAGAGGGGGAATGCCTCATGGAAAAGGGGGAATGCCTTATGGTAGAGGAGGAATGCCTTATGGTAGAGGAGGAATGCCTTATGGAAGAGGAGGAATGCCTTTTGGTCGAGGAAGTCACAATTTCAGAGGGAATCATAGCGCGCCAAATAATAATGTGCCTAGAGGTGGCATAAACGGTTTCACACGAGGAAGTTATAACAAACGCAAGAGGTTTCCACAGGAGAAAACTTTGCCATCTTTGTTCAGTGGTGTCGAGATCGAATGCAAAATCTCATGTCTAGAGGATTTATGGCATTTCTATATCATGTTAGATGCCGGAGAAGAGAATACAAATTTATCAAGCGTTGTGTACGAGGATGGCGAAAAATTGGAATTAGTCAACGAAGGGATGCTATGTGCTGCCAAGAATCCTGTGGAAGACTCATACTTTCGTGCAATCATTGAGAGCGTTTACTCCGACACCAAAGTTTTGGTGCGTGATGCCGACAAAGGACGCACAGAGATTGCTGAAAAGTCAAATCTAAGGCGACTCATTCCAGAAGATTTCAAGAAGCCATTTAGAGCCACACGATGCCGTCTGTTCAATATTGTGCCGTTGATAAGGAACAAGTGGTCAACTGAAGCCATAAGGTATTTTGCCTTTAAACTGGACAGCGGCAACATACCAGTGACAGCAGTTGTACGTGGCGAGACATCGTCAGGTGATATCTTAATCAACATCAAAGACCCCGATGACCCAAACAAATTCATTGCTGATGATATTGTCAACAAAGGCTTTGCACGCTACTTGCGTCCAGATCGGTGAGTTTAGTTAAAATTGTTCATTATTTTCCCTTGCCATGTAGAATATTTTGAAGTCGTATTCATTTTGAATCCATCAACAATCTATACGTAAAACTGCAAACGGATCGTCTTAAACGTCGAAGCGGAAATAATGTTTGAGATAAGACAAGTAAACAGACTCTCGGGCATTTGTTACCTTTGTTCTCACTGATGTAGTTTTCTACATATCATTTTCTATCCTTTGCTGTTTTTAATGAGATTCTTCTAATTCTTTTTGTTTCTAATTGCTTTTTGAAAAGTATTGTTATCGACTTGCTTATCTGACCTTCCCCTAGGGCGATATTTATCGAGCCATGTACCCCATAAAGTGAACCACTCGCAATTTCTTTGCTTACACATTAGAAACATTTACACATGACGAAATTGTATTGTTTAGGCTTAATTTTCTTTGTCCTTTTATCACGTCTAGACGTCAAGCCAATTCTGAATCAGCTGGTTCTCCTGTCGACGCAAAATGAGAAGAAGAGAACTAGTAAGCTAATATGATTTTATTAAATTCGTAAAGATTTACATTTGATATTTTGATTGGCGAATTGAGCCTCATTAGATCATCTCATACACGCCTTTGGTTTTAAAATTGCGTTCTAACATAAATGTAGCGAGTATGTACACTTGTGGGATGTCATGAAGCGATGGGTACTGTGGGATGTGGGAGAACCCATATTGATGAAATAAGTAGCAGATTGTGAATGTGTTCAGGTTAAATTCCTTATTGTACAGCCAAAGATTCCTGAGCATTAGAAGTATTTAGATGTGCATTTTTGGGCCTATTCTTGCGTAGGGTTCTTTAGGGGTGAGGCTGTGTTTAAAGGCTTGTTATCAACTCTCTTATGCATATGCTATAGCAGAGGCACTGTAAGTGGTCATCATAAGAAGGCAGAAGTCTGCTTTCAGAGGCTATGTTAATAGTAATGGGTCGATAGGAACATTAGGAAATCAGTTTAAACGTCTCAAAAACGGATTCTTTTTGCTTTCAAAATTTTTGTCTATTTGGCTTTGAAACACTTCGAAAACCATTCTTTTCACGAAGAAAATCTCTTTTCTCTTTCTTCTCTGTATTTTGTTTTTGTGCTGGAAAATACGATGTGAATCTCTTTTATTAGATGTTAATTTATCTCTCTTAACGAGCCGTACACGACATGCAGTTGCTGTAGGTTTTTGGTACTTTTTATAGAAGTGAAATCAGAAGTGAAACTAGAAGGATTCTTTTCCTTGGACGTCTTTGCTATCAAATTGGGATGAATTATATACAGTGCCAATTTTTATGGTTCCACTATTGTGCCAAATATGATAATGTAACAGGTTCTTGATGCTTTTCCATTTTTGTTTGTTTCCTACCACTGTCAAAAAGGTTCACTCCACAAATCATTTTGCTACATGTAACCAGTATTTGTGGAAAGCATCTTCTTTGAAGGGGAACTTCTTTGCCTTTATTTAACTTTGGAAATTCTGATTCACTCAACGATATTCTCGTTTTATTACAAACTGCTCAATCGGCACTGGATTTTCTTTTTAATACGATTGATGTTACATGTATTATCAATCTAAACGATATGGCATTGCAGAGCTAATCCAAAAAATAAGTTTTGACCAATTTCTATTAACAGTGCATGCTTTTTTCAGCATAGAATGCTTAATAACCTCTTCGTCGCTTTCAAGTGTAAAATTATTTAAGATTTTGCTAAAGAAACTCTTCACTGAACAATATTTTTTGCAAAACATCCATCTTTTCTAGCTTATACAACCTGAGTGGTGTCTTAACCAAGATTGTCCTTATTCTTTTCTGAAAGGTTCTTGCAACTGCCTCATGCTTACCTCGTGCTTACCTCGTGTCTATCTCATGCTTATCTCATGCTTATCTCATGCTCACCTCATGCTTACCTCATGCTTACCTCATGCTTACCTCATGCTTTACTCATTTTGCCTATGTATCTGAAGGTCATTTGATATCTAGCTTGGCTTCATTTTTGTTTCTTTCATCGTTTAGTTATCATGTCTTTTGTTTCTTTCATCGTTTAGTTATCTGTTTGTTTATATTTTGTATTTTTCTGTTGTCTTTTTTCTTTTCGTGGAAGAATATTTGATTTGGGCGGCGTGTTAAGGACAAAGTAAAAGGGCTGATAACATGCAACAGAGTTGACTTAAGCCAAATGGAGCAGAAGTGCCTCAAACCTTCTCTGGTGTGTATACATCCGAAGACCCACTTTAGCTTCATTGGAGATTGATGAGGACCTACAATACCTTAGTGGATTATGAAGAGGGGTTTCTCGGTGGATACATTTTAATAAAGAATATTCGAGATAAAGTGCACTTTGTCGTGAAGAAAAGCCAGCCGTACACATTTTCTGTTTCTGCGGGAGAGTTTATTGATTCAAGTAGTTTCATATTAAAATCCTTGTGCTTCATTTCCCACCTTGATTCGTATCCAAGGATGCCAGGAATGTATCACTGGACAGGGTGCTAGAAAAGATTTAAGGAAAAGAAGAGACAAGAGAAAGAATAGAAGAAAATATGAATAGAAGATAAGAGGTTTATATAGGACGACAGTCGTGGTTATATTATGTTGATTTTATGCCAACTGTGTTTCCAGTATAAGTTCTGGTAATATTGTTCCTCTAAAATGAATATATGTTAATGTCAAAGATCTGAAAGTTTTTACAGTTCCAAGATAAGCTCAATGTTGACAAAAGCTTGGTTCATGATCGGTGCAAGAAGTCATTGACAAAAAAAATTGCGAATGCTTATTATTGATGTATGTGGATTTGCTTGCCAAGAAAGGCCGGTGACGGCAATGCAGCCTTTCCGAAGAATGACGAGTTTTACTCAAAGTGATATGCATGTTTCCTAACCCGAATGATTATGGAACTTTAGTAGAAGTATGGAATTATATATTGGAACATTATGGAACCCGACCTGTCGGATTGTATATGGATAGACCTGAACACAGTTGTTTATGGATGAATTTTTCAAGACCTTGTACAATGATACTCGTGGGATAACAGCTAGGATTGCAATTATAATATTTGCCAAATTTAGCAGATGTCTTCTTCCTTCAGACACATCCATTGGACGTAGCGGCCTCAACAGCCCATCTCTAACCAACTAGAGCATTCTCTGATTTTCTATAAGCAGGTTTCGCATCTACTTGTAGTCAAACGATTCTATGGACATTCTCTCACGAAAGAACTCTTACGAAGGCCTCTATGATCGTGTTTGATCTTTCGGCCTTCCTCTACCGCATCTTTACAAACATTGCCTTCAAGATTGCTTTTACCACACCACACTTTGACATTTTCCTTGTTCAATGCTCCCTGCAACATTAGATTCGGCAGTTCCTGATTATAGCTCAATGGCGATAGCTGACTTATTGCAGAAAGGAAGGACCTGATAGACATCACCATTCTCGCTTTTGACTTCTATTCGATATCAACAAAATTACATCTTTTTTAGCCAATGCACCAATACTGCCGCAGGGGCTAGATGGAGTCAATTTCGTACAGTTGGATCACAAGAGAGTTGCAGAAATCAAAATTTTGAGCAGAGCAACGTTAGATATGCCAGAAAAAGTTCAGTTCTTGTTCAAATTTCATAAAGAGTTTAGCACTAATTGTACATGTATAGATTAAAAATACCGTTCACTTAGCTTTAAAAGAGCTATATGTACTCGAGGAAAAAACGAGTACTCCATTCTAGTGTTCACGGAAATCCAGCATCAACTTACTATGCAATAGTAAAATGAATCTAGTTTGCTAATTTATCAGTGCTTTAACGGCTGAAAAATCATTTGTTGGAATCAGTTTGTTTTTCAGAAATTTTCCTAATGGAGGTTATCACAATTTCTATGTGTTCACCGGAGTTGATTCTTTAAACCGCTGATATGGCTGTGCAATTCGTTTTATGTAAAGAACTTCATGTACGGTTCACTAAATCAACGAAGCAACATCAGATCTGAAACATTGGTTAAATCCCTATCAACAGTCACGACTAGAAACATCCTTCAAAAAGTAATGTTAATAATTTTTTTCAGAGGATGAGCAGTACATCTAGGAAACTTTGTGCATTTGTGGTATAAACCCTTAAAGGTATCATGACATCAGAACTGGTTTTCAGTTGCAAGGAAATTCTGACAAGGAAAGATGTGACACTTCTTTATTATACTTGTACCATTTTCTTATTATCTTAGTTTCTTATTATTATCTTATTATTCTAGTTTAATTTAATCTTATTCTGTCATTTACAAGCCGCTGATAATTTTCATTTTCTTCACACATTACCTGATCCTAAAGCTTCTGTTCCTCTATATTTTTAATAATTTAATTAAATTTTGAAACCAAAGGTTTTGTTCGTACCATAACTTTTGTTTATTCCATTATTTTTGCGCCCCATCTACGCACAGAGACCATTTTAAAAAGGCATTTTATTTGAAATCCGCTAATCTCCGATATATCTAATGACCATAAACTGAAGCTGTGTTTTCGTTGCCAAGTTTATATTGGCATATCGGTGAGGCAATTCTGTTTGCTTGTGGATTCGATAATTAAACTCTGATACCAACAAACAGTTACGCCCTATTCGTTCTCGTAAAAATCTTCATGGGTTGTATTTTTTATTATCGTCTATTCATAACACCATCTAGCGATATGCAAATTCGTGTGCTGGAATCACTGCTAATCAACGACAATCTACTGTCCATAAAGACTAGCACAAAATAGCCTGTCTTTCTCAGCTGTAGGAATTTCACCTTTCTGCTGACAGACATTTGTCAAAATATTTTTGGATGGAGAATATTCTCTGTTCTTGATTTCAATGCACATGATCGCTTTGCATTATTTCAATTTAGCATTTTAGCTAATTTTGCAATCTTCTGCCATTTAACGGCCTGACAAAGCTTCTGTTGAATGCCTTGCTTTGAATCAGTTTTTTCTTTGAATCACTTTCTACTAACCTGTGCCTTTAAATGCATCTGTTAAAACCCTGCCATGCCACATCTATCGGTAAATGATACAGCGCCTTTTGATTTCTAATGAAAGAATCCTACACGTGTGCTGTTTCTTATCGCTCAATCCACTTTTTCTATTATTTGACATTATATTAAGATGCTCAGGAGTAATGTTCTACTTTTTTTTCTGTTTTATATCTTGCAGAATTACAATTTTACACAATGCAGCTGCTGCTCGTATTTGCGAGTAGAAATTTTTCTTATCGCTTAGAAGTCAAAAAGAAGAATCTTTTTGGCTTGGATTGTCTGCCAATACTGACTTAATCTATTATTAGATTGTATCCCTACCTTGTTAATGCTTCCCGTATCTTGTATGCACTACATTTTAATACCAGCCTTATCTTTAGAACTCTACGCAGGGGTTAGCTCAAGGATGCTTATAATATAAGAAACGCGCATGCCTGTTCAACTCCACATCCGAAAAGCTCACTATTTTAAACTAGATGGTTTCCAGTGCTTAATTTATGGATGACCAATTTACTTTGAAATAGCTTTAAGTAGGTTCATTGGTAAAACAGTATGTGGTGGATGGGACTGAAACAAGAGCACGGCGATTGTTTCGTCGTTCGTTTCGACGCTCGTTTCGACATTTGTTTCGACGTTTGTTTCGACGTTTGTTTCGACGTTTAATAGTGGCGGAAATAACGGGGGGTTTGAGTCTCTAGCGCTCCAGTTATGGTTCATTGGAATATTTTTTGCGTTTAGAATTTTTGCATTGAGTTGATAAAGCACGAATGGAAAATTCTTCTTTTCAAAACTTCCTGTCAGAAACCTGTGGTTGAACCCACTTCCCCCCAAAAATGTCGACTTTGCGGTAGATTCAGGTAGCGCATTTTGATCGTTAGAGGGGATTGAGTCCTCAAGCCATTTTATCAGCGAGACCAATTCTAAAGTAGTGGATTTCTCATGCTGTCAATGTGCAGTTCATATTTTTATTTTCAATTTGGTTCTAGGATTTAAAAGTATTTCTGAAAGGCCATTGCGCAACCGGCATGCTTAGCGGCAGTTGTCTTCAGCAATTGATTGTGTTTTGTGGTTTCATGCAGTACGAAATTAGGCCGCTTTTTTGAGTTGTAGTTGCTTAGCGTGCCGGTTGCGAAAGAGCCTTTAAACGAAGACATGTCATAATATCTTACTGTATTTATTACGTAGCAAATAGAAAAACCAGACATGCTTTTACTTTTTATTGCGATTGAATAGTATATAGGCCTTATATTGTATTTCGATTTGTTACTGTTGAATTAGTTTTCGCATTAGAGTTTTTAAGTATATCATTAGTTCCGGTATCAGCTGTATATTTTTTGAATTTTTAGATATAATAAGGTTAATGTTTGTTGTTTTGTTGCATTTACGTGGTATAGAATAAAAAAATAAATCATTTCTTCCAGATTCTTTTCTGCAAATCTAATATTCAGTAACGACAGTGGTATAACGATCGTGTTTTTGTCCTAGCTGCATCAGCATAAAGGGAAAGTTGTCATTGCAGAAAACAAGACGCTTTCCACAGGTTTTTCTATAAATTCAATGTCGAAAAGAATGGCGGTATTATTCTGTCAGTGACTGAACACTTTAAAAGACTTTTTGAAAGTGCTCCATCTCGCAAGGTTTAAAGTCGTCGAACTCTTGACTTATCGATAAGATTTCTGAATTAGCGACTCTGTCTAGTAAGTATTGAAAAGCGAACAAGTGGATTTTTGTCAATTGTCAAGAGTGGATTAAGAGAAGCATGATTTTCAAAGGTATAAGAACCAGGACAAAAGAAAAAATACTAGTTTCTGTTTTATTTTTTATCAGCTACAATAAATACAAAACTCATTGTTATAGCTTAACAAGTCTTAAATTAGCTACTTTTATTTTAAAAAGAAATTATATAAATGAACACTTGGCAGCGTCTGCCCACGAACTTTCTTTTCGCGAGGATGGTTTTCATTTTGGGGGCGTCAAATAACATCACCACAGTACTGGGGTTTGGGCCGTTTAGAACTGACCTGTGAAGGGTGTTCCTAATGTGGACCTTTTGGTTGGAAAAGTTCAAGGGTGCTTTCTTGCCAATGAGGCTATAAAGGGCTTCTCATGGTCAGTGACTTTGGCAAATAAGCCGTTGAGGGAAATTTGTTTTTAGCATAAACTACAAAGGCTGACCAACAGAACATCAACCCTACATCCCCCTCCATTTTTGCTTGTTACTGCAATCGGTTTAGTTAAGAAGCTCTTCTTATTTTCTCAAATCTATTTTTCGAGGTGCAGATGTTGTTTTTTCGTTTGGTGATGGATAAGTGCAAAAACCCTCCTTAGGGTGCAAATAGATAACATGAAAGGATAGAGAGTGTGACAGATAGGTATTGCACAGAATCTTTGCACATACCGCTTGCTTCAAAACTAGTATGAAATTTTCCAAATACTACTTTAACGTTTTTACTACTAACATTTTACCAATGGGATAGATGCTACGAAGCTACCTTCATTTCTTATCCATGTACGCAATCCAGAAAAGATACCAGCCCCAAAGTCAAGTGGTCGATTGAAGGTCATTCCAAATAGAGAGGAAGTTTAAGAGTGGTTTTTCTATCTCTCGCTTAAAGGACTGCGCACTTTTCTGGACAAAGTTTTTCAATTAATCGCTAGCTGTTACGCCCAAGTAGAGTTTTTGTTGGCGTTCTTAGTTCGCGAACTGTCTGTGCAACCATTGGTTATAGTTTGCTCCATAACAACGTCCGATGACGCCTGCGTACGTGGCAATTGTAGGGTGCATCACCTCTTTTTTGACCTGCGCTTTCAATTGGATGGGATTTCTTATAGGTTCACATCACAACAGCTGGGTTCTCTATCGTTATTGAATTTTCCTCCGACACAACGACTCGCGCTAGTCGCCTGCGCCGTACATAATGTCCTAAAGCTACCGCTACAATTAAAACCACACAACCGACACATGTAAACACAATTAGCTGCAGCTTCAGTTTCTTCGCGCGTTCGTTTTCATGTGCCGCAAAGCCGCTCTTGCTATCCTTGTCGTTATTTTGGTTGTTCGATTTATCTGGACAGTGCTTGCTCTGTCCGCAAGCATGATAGCCGACGTTTGCGTTGAAATTGAGCTGTTTGTTTCTGTTGTTATTTTGCCTTGTGGTTGCTTCATCGGTGCCTCTGCATCCTAACTTACATTTTGGATTGCTGTCTGGATTGCTACCATGTCCAAAGCATTCTGTACATGGAGGCAAAGTTCCTAAAGAACCCGATCCGGTATATGTACCAGAACCTCGTCCGGACCCAGAGCTCCCGTAGCCAGTGACAACGCTAGACAGATTACTTCCCCCATTGTCACCGCTTGTGTTCACTGCATTTGATCCTAAGATCGAAAGAATAATATAAAAAACAGGTTGTCATTTGTCGAGCGATTACGTCACATTATACGTTTCTTAATGATAGACGAGTCACAATATTGAGGCTGGGGGATTAATGATTGATTGACTTTTCGCAATATCTGATTGATTGACTGCTCCCCTTATTTTTTCAAAGTCCCAGCCAACATCAGGATTATTTCCTTTTCAAAATCTTTTCTTAATTATTCTTAGCATAAAAAAATTTTAAGCTTCTTTGAACTGCTACCCTAATGCCTAGTTCATTCCAGAACTGTCAGCTTTTTCTGGAATTTATGCTGAGGAGGATTTTGTAATGCTAAGAACTTTGTTGTTTCTTAGCTTACTGACTTACTGAAGTTTCAAAATTTCAGTAAGATTCAATGCTGTCTTTTCTTTATAATATTCAAGACGACAAGCAAAGATTGTTGAAGACTATTGATCTCTTTTGTTTTTTGCTGCAGTTTAAATGCACCAAAATCGCGACGACCATAATTTCACTAACGCTTTTAAAAGTCTTCTGAACAAATAGTCTTAAAGGAATATTACTAGCTGTATATTGTATTCACTCAGGTTAAGAAGATCCCTTCTTCATTTTTCTAATTTCCTTCAAGGCCTCTGGATTATTTGCAGCAAGCATTGATTGAATCTAGCGAAAGAGTCAAAAGTTTCTTTTGATCAAGCATCATTAAAATACCTAAACCCAAAAATAGTTTACTTCGCAAATTTTCTCCTCTAAAAACGTAGCCTTGTGCGTGCATATTCATGAAATTAGTTTATTTTGTCACGTGATTTGTTTTTATTTGCTCTTCAAGAAAAACTAATTTATTGAATTTATTGAAAGAACGAAAACGCCAATTAATTCGTTTTTTATAAAAATTTTATCTTGAACGTACATTTTTCAGCTTACTTGACAACTTAGAAACAGCATTCTCTGAAGTGCAAAATATTTACCTTTATTACACAGCAAAAGCAGTAGAAAAACCATCAGCCTCGACACCCAGCCATCATCAATTGATCGGCCTCGACATCCAGCCATTGCGAAACTGTGCAATTCCTAAGCAGCCCTTCTTATCTAAGTCTCTTTGGCTGTGTACTTCTGCAATGAACACAGAGTTCTGACTGACAAGGACCGGCTCGTGCACTTTATAGACCCTTGAGGGGATTTGTGAACATATTGTTGACTCTTTGCTTGTATTGTGGGATTATTTTTAGATAGGTCTCAAATATATGACCCAATCGAACATGCAGGGTATTGTTGAAGAATTTCTCAACGTCCAAAGGCTCATGTTTCGTTTATCTTGACATTAATTTAAAACACGTTTGAGAATAATTAAGCGATAAGAAATATATGAAAGCTTTGCTGGCTCTAAAACTGTGCACCCTCCCCGGGCAGAAAAGTCCTCAGTGTATGTGATCCGAGGGGTGGGACCGCTACTCACCTGTGTTTGAGACCATGTTCTCCACATGACAACTTATTTTCCCTTTTTACATTGTTACTGCTCTTATCCAAATTTGATTACTACAATTACGTCAGTTTTCAAGGTCATTCCCCTTTCCCCTAGGACTTAATGTTGGTTTACTGTAGAATGGCACAGGAGATTTAGAACTGCTTTTGCGCTACTTGTAACTATCAACATTGCTCTAGGAGGAAGTTGAGATTTTTTCGGAAAGGAAATGAAAGATATGAAATACAACAGAAATTGCTGGATGTTCCAAGTATTTTTAGGTGGCATTGTAGAGTAAATTGGCCATGTTGGCAAATATTACGCTTGAAGTTCTTAATCATTGCTGTGGCATTATCAGTTATCTTCCACTGACAAGTCATATCCCACTGAATTTAAATTCACTTGCAGATAGCCTCCTTCTCGCGCCTATAGCGCGTTCTTCTATCTTAATCAGGGCCGGCGAAACGTATTTGAAAATGGAGGGGCCAAAATATCAAAGTCTTAAAAGGGCTTAGAAAATGCCGCCTCCGTGATTGGCGGCAAGAAAAAATTTAGAATTATGGTGTCTTAGGGATGGCCAGAAACTGTATCTGAATATCTACAATGAATTTTGACTGAAGGTGTCGCATAGTCGCGTCTATTGTGATTTCGACTTGAAATAGAAAAGTTTTGCAAAGTTTTAGAATAACCACTATCATATAGCTCGTAATGAAACCTTTTTTTAGATTTTAAAAGTACCCGAAATAAGATAGGGGAGAATAGTAAGTGAAACACGGATTAATAAAAAACACCAACGTTGAAATATCAGCAGAGGAACTATCAACTAAAAATAAAAGTTGAGCAATTTTGTACAGTTAGGATATACCTTTCAGCTAAGATATAACACCTGATCTTAATTTTGTCGGAAATTAAGTGCTTTAACAAAAATTTGAAAAACCTTCAAACTGGCCTTTCAAAATGAGTTTAGATAGAATTTATAACTGCGTCGATATTTTCTCTTTCTTAGTAGGGATTATCCAAACGATCAAACTCTGAAGTTTTCTTGATGATACTGTTTAAGAACAAATCTGCCCATACTTTTTTCTCATATCCTCTCATATAAAAAGTTGTTTCCAGCTGTTTCTTTTCCTTCAACAACTGATTTCTCTCTTTTTGTAATGTTTCTGAGAAAGTTTTCGTTAACAAATACACCTTGTGTGATGGAAAAAACAAAACTCCGTCAATTTGTGCCGGCACTAAGTTCTTTTGGACTAGGTTCTCGATCTAATTGCTAAGCCAAGCTGTTACTCGTTGTAAAACTTAGACAATGACCGATTTCTTCGATCTATTTCCCATTTTCAATTTTATGTATGTCTTCTATGGTGAAGACATAGCAACCAAGGTGAAGCTAAGGACAAATTTAAGCGAATACTAGGCAAAGTTACTTACAGAATCATATACTACATTTGTTTCCACTTTTTGCCTAAAATGTTTCTTTAGCTCTGCAGAAAAGTGGGAAGGCCATGGCACCCCCGGCCCCCCGGTTTCGCCGGCCCTGTTAATGTTTATAAATCTTAGCTTTGAAAGTTTAGCATGCGTAAAAGTGAAAGACGATAAAGGCTCAAGTTCGGAGCCTTGTTGGAGCCTGAAGATTAAAAGCCAGAATATACCATTCTGCGGCTTTTTTTCGTTAATAGGAACATTAATGGCTTTGAAAAAAGCAAACATTTTATAACATAAAGTTCTGTACCGCCAGAAAACATTGAAAAAACCTATTACTTCTACCAGCCTGTTAATGTTACCAAATGTTGGCAAGAAAATTTAAACTTTTTTGGTTTTAAAGACAACGCACTACTCGTGCCGTACGCTAAGCCTTATCCAAAAGGGCCCGAAGGGGGGGGGGGGGTAGGAGTCATTATGCACCAGACCCTTGTCTTTCATATATAGCAAAAGTGTTCCTTCCCTGTAGTTTAATCTATGCATCACCTTTTCTTTAATCAAACTTTGAATACCACAAAAAACGAGATCAAAGAATAAGAATGCACATTTTTCAGACCCCGACATTTCTATCTTAGTGATAATTTTTTGTCATTAAAAAAGGAAACTTTTGAACCCTCTATTTCACTGAAATGGAAAGGGGCAGATGCTTGAGCAGTTGACTCAAATCACTTCGGTTCTGCATTTTATAATATATTGTTCCAATGAGTACACGCGATTTGATACACGATATTTGTGTTCTAACATTTTTTTTTCCTTTTTCGAAAGGACCTCGGAATTCCTTTCAGTACCTTTGCCCGTTCACAAGATATTGATGATGACGATCTGATACTACGAAAGAAAAGCTAGCTGTAATTTAAACTTAATATCCGACAACTTTATGACCTCGTGGTTAATCAGGGACGCCTGCACAAGATTTGGGCAGGAGGGGCAGTGTTGGTGCTGAGGGCAAATCGCAGAAATTTTCGAGGGTGGGGTAACATGATCAAATATTAACATGGATATGTGCCAACCATACAGCTGAGTTTTTCTACCATTAATGATTTTAAACATAGAGAGAATGTTGACGAAAATACCCATACATAAAATGGGTATTAAATGGCTTTGTCACTATACACAATATTTGGATTTATAAAATCATGGTTGTAAAATTTCGATTGCCCGCAAAGTTTTGATACTGATTTATTCTTCTTTGGTTTCTAGATGACTTCTGAGGGAACAAGACTTTTGTTTATCTACAATTATCTTTGCCGCTTCCCCTCTTGTAGCCCACCTTGCCACAGACAAACTTTTTGAATTTTTGCGTTTTTGCTGGTGTCTTAATTTTTCTAATATTTTCTGATAGAAACTAACATAACAAGAGTGATCAAGGTGGTCATCAATCATCGATAAGATTTTATAATATTTTCTTATATTTCAGGGCTGTTGCCCCTCCAGCCCCCCGATGTAGGCGCCCCTGTGGTTAATGTTTCATTACCAGGCTCATTTTTATAGAAGGAAGATGATACTTTCTGTAGCTGTACACATGAGGTATCTCGTTGAAAACCTAGTGAGATTAGTAGCTTTTGAATAATTCAAGCAACATTAATTTCTTAATAAAAATAGCATGTGAGATCATATCTTCATGACTTTAATTTCATCATGAAGGACTGGTAACCAGGCCGTTGCCGCAGCAATTTAATCAGGGCCCACGCCACGAATTTGAAAGTGGGGGGACCAAAGCGAAAGTAGGGGGCCAAGGCTTCCTTACTCTTCTACTGCAGCTTTAAAACTACTCGCTTCGCAAAAATATGGAGGGCATGGCCAAAAAGGGCGTTGGCCGTGTTAATTGGATGGATAGGAAAATCACACCTTATCAATTCGAAACATCACTGACCAAATGCCGAGTAAAAAGCTTTTTCATCAAAGCAGAATGTCGCCCCTGAGTGACACAAATCTGCCTTTTGCAATCATTGCCGTGCACGCAGTTGTGTACAGAAATCGATAACCTAAGTGCTCCCAGCCACCACGTGCACTTTCACTATGATCCTTTATATTGCGAAAAGTCTGAAAGCGGACTGTCCAGACTCTCAAAATTAAACTAACTCCGGACTTTGATCTTTTCCCATACATGTGACATGAAATATTTCTAATGTTTCCTTTACTCTTGTCGATTTACAACTGGAAACCTTTGTTCTTGCCATGTTGGATCTCAAATTATTTCTATGATCCTTAGGTAGATTGCTATATATCAAATATTTATCATGCAATTTGCATGATATTACATAATAATATGGAATAAATCTCTTAAATTAATTGTGGTGAGTTATGAGCCATGTTTATAATTAACCTAAAACTGTGGCCACATTTTCGACACTAGCAGGATTAAACTTTATGCTGCTCTGGATGTTCTTACCGAAATTTGACCATGGGTACAAGTCAGAAAGATAACAAAACCTTGTTAGCATTACTGTTGAATCAACTGTACTTCAGACGGCTGAATTCGATAATGGTATTAAAAGATTCACCAAGATTAAATAGTTCTTTAAGATAAGTCGAATTGGCTAAATATTTGATTTCTGATGCAGGGTCAATTATTTTGCCATTTGCTTTAGATTTGCAATGTTTTTGCATTTTTTAGCTTCGTCGAGTTCATAATCCCTTGTTTTTGAGATCTCGAATGCATGTGGTTTTCTAGCGAAAGAACACAAGATAAAATTATTTTTTAGGTATTTCGCATGTAAATAAAGTGGGAGGTTAGTTGAGATGGTAATCCAAGCAAGGTTGTATGTTATGACATGTTCTCTGCAATTTTAGAAGGTATTAAACAAACATAATCAAAAAGATGCCGGTCGAAGCTTGTCATAACACAAGACAAATGACACTACATAGTTACCATGTTGATATTCTTACAGTAAAATCTTTAAAAAGTATGCGCAGACAGATAACATTTAGACATCAATATTTCCTCTTTAACTTTCCATGTTAGGTAATCCATAATGCCATATTGATGCTGGCTAGAATCTGTGCTTTGGCAGAAAAGTAAAACAATATAGGATTTTCCATTACCGCCTCAAGATCAAGAGAGAAATGGAAAATGTGCATTGCACACATCACGTGAAAGTAACAGTTTCCATTTCTAGTTAACTTTATTCTAAGTATTGCAATCCCAATTACAGTCAGTTTTTCAATAGCTGACCACAAGAAACAAAATACATAGTATAAGTTGCAATTCATGGCCTCAACTTCTCTCATTCTATTCAACATTATTTGAAACTGCAAAGTAGAGCTGTGCTGAGCTGTGATACGAGCTGAGCTGTGCTCTGCAACAGACAAACACCTGAAATTAGAGATCTTCTTGTGTTATTTTTCCTGTTTTAGCGCATTTTAGGCTAGTATCAAGTTTTTAAAAATAACTTTCCCCAGAATATGTCAATATTTATATGTAGTTTTTTATTAATTTATTATATTGACCTTTAAAACACAACTTTCAA